GAGAGCTCGGGGTGTTTTGCTGGGGTTGCAGTGGGGCGTACAACCAGCGAGCCTGAGTCCCTGGTTCCCCAGGCTTGGGAGGATGGACTCGGACCCTTATTTCCCATTGCATTCCCAGCGAAAACAGACTGGGAAGAAGTCAAGCCGACTGAGCTGGGAACGGTCCCTGGGCTGTGCCAGCATCCCGTCCTCCTGGGAAAGGTTTTGCCAGGGACTGCCCCATCAGCTGAGCAGAGAGGAGGGAGCTGCGGTGACGGGAACATCCCTCCCCGTGGTTAACTTTATCTCACTGTAGCTATGGGAAAGGAAAGCAGTTTAGACCAAGCTAGTTTTTCCAAACCACGCTGGTAGGTAGTAGATAGACAGGTGCCGTCGAAGGTGATTCATCCCACCCTTGGGAGGTCCAGCGTAGGTGGGGTGAATCACCCTCCAGCAGTACCTGCCTCCCTCCAGAGCCAGGACGGCTTCAGAGGAAGGCTGGAAATCACGTTGCAGGTTAGGACACCCAAAATTAAAGTGTCAACATGTAGGTGTCTCAATGTGCACAGGGTGTCTGTTACTTCACTTCCAGATGGCTGAACGATGTGGGATGAGTCCCACCATTCATACCTGGGACCTATTTCCCAGAGTTTTGCACCTCTTTGACAAATAACAAGGAAATTCTGCAACTCCGTCGCGGTAACATGAATTGCAGGGCTCACGTTCGCGTCAGCTGTGTTCACAGAATCATAGAATCACAGAATTGGGTTTGAAGGGACCTTTGGGTTGGAAGGGACCTTTAAAGGCCATCTAGTCCAACCCCCCTGCCGTGGGCAGGGACATCTTCAACTCGATCAGGTCGCTCAGAGCCCCGTCCAACCTGACCTGGAATGTTTTCAGGGATGGGGCATCCACCACCTCTCTGGGCAACCTGTGCCAGTGCTTCACCACCCTCAGTGTAAAACATTTCTTCCTTCTATCTAGTCTGAATCTCCCCTCTTTTCGTTTAAAGCCATTCCCCCTTGTCCTGTCGCAACAGGCCCTGCTAAAAAGTCTGTCCCCATCTTTCTTCTAAGCCCCCTTGAAGTACTGAAAGGCCGCAATAAGGTCTCCCCGGAGCCTTCTCTTCTCCAGGCTGAACAACCCCAACTCTCTCAGCCTGTCCTCACAGCAGAGGTGTTCCATCCCCCTGATCATTTTTGTGGCCCTCTTCTGGACCCGCTCCAACAGGTCCGTGTCTTTCTTATGCTGAGGACCCCAGAGCTGGAGGCAGTGCTCCAGGGGGGGTCTCACCAGAGCAGAGCAGAGCAGAGGGGCAGAATCCCCTCCCTCGACCTGCTGGCCACGCTGCTTTGGATGCAGCCCAGTGCTCATCGGTACCTGCTGCAGCTGGTGAGAAGGTGAACAAGAAGCCACCGCACTGTGAGCTGGGAGAGAGCCCCGCGTCCTTCCAGCCCGAGGCTCGGTGCTCATCACGCCCGTCCCAGCTGGGGAAGGGGAGCAGAGCCCTGGGAAGGCACCTCCACACTTAGCCGGGCTCACACGTGGATACCTGTGGCCTGGAGGCACTGCACAACATTGAAATGGGAAGAAATAGGGTTTTCTCTAGTCCTCCCTCCCCACCCCAAAACGCGATCACCGCCAGCACCCGACTCCATCCAACCCAACCCAACCCAGCGCAACGCGGGAAAATCAACCTTAACTTGTTAATCATCATCAGCATCGCAACGCCAACGGCCGCCTCGGGCCGGAGCCCGTACCAGCTAGATGCTTAATGAATGCGTGAGTATTCTGGCTTTCCAAAAGGTGCCTTTGGAAAGCACCAAATTTGTGTGTCCAGCAAACATCTGTAGACCTGAGGCCACGGGGATGGCCATGCCGGCCCGAGGAGGGAGGCAGCTCAGCATCTGCAGCGGCTTTAGCCGTCTCAGCGTGGCCACAGGCAAGAGAACCAAGTCCTGCTAATAATTTAAGAGCATCAATTAATACAGTTTAATAAATACGTAAAAGGATCTAGTCTCTTTTTTTTCCATCCACTTTCTAGCGTCAATGAAAGTTAAGGGTGATTGTCCCGTGAGTAACTAAGGCAAATTTGTTTGTCTGTGTGTGTGTTTCTCTCCTTTTTTGTTTTCATTTTTTTTTTCCATTGTTTTGTACATAAAGCAATCACATAAAAATAGTTATAAATAGAAAAATTGCAAAGGTTTTTCCCCCCTAGACAAATAGGAAAAACAACCCAACCAACCCAACAGACAAATCGAGACAGAAAAACCACCTTGCTTCAAGTCCTTGTAGATTATACAGTACTCGGCATCTTTGGATACTTTACAATGACTCCAAATCGTAGACAAAAAAACACCTGAAGTAACCAGTCATCTGCAAAACGTCGCTTGTGTAAGAAGTTGATATGGATTTAAAAAAAAAAAAAAGTTTTGATGCACTTTAAGAAGTTTTCTTTTTTTTTTTCCCCCCCCCCCCCCCCTCCATTGACTTGTTGCCCGCGGAGTCTTTGTGGATTTCTTTTTGGAGGAGGAAGCGAGCGTTGGGCAGTTCCTTGGGATCGTTCTGCTATGGATGGTCTCAGAGCAGAAGTCCTGCATGCCCTCGTGGGGGGGGCTGTGGATCCTGGACCCCTTGTGTCCCCTCCATGCTCCGGTGGGGAGACCCTCATCCGGCCACCGCTCCGGAGCGGCACCATCGATGGGCAAACCAAAAAATAAATGAACCCGCGGTCCTCTCGTTCCCTTTGATTCTGCTGACGTTGAAAGGTAACAGTAAAAAGAGAAAGAAAAAGCCCTAATTTGTAACATTTACATTTTTGAGAGCTGGTTTCATGTAAAACCAGCTTCCCAGGGCACCCACCGCAAGCCATCTCAGCCGGTGGTGAAACTGGGGTCCCACCACATCCAAGGGGAGCCGTCGGAGGCAGGTGGCCATCAAAAGCCTTTATTCTCGAGAGTAGCTCATGTTTTCAGGGGCTGAAGGAGGCTGACGAGGCGATTCCAGCCAATTTGCCAATTTTTTCGCCTCAAAATGTAAAACCAGCTTCCCAGGGCACCCACCGCAAGCCATCTCAGCCGGTGGTGAAACTGGGGTCCCACCACATCCAAGGGGAGCCGTCGGAGGCAGGTGGCCATCAAAAGCCTTTATTCTCGAGAGTAGCTCATGTTTTCAGGGGCTGAAGGAGGCTGACGAGGCGATTCCAGCCAATTTGCCAATTTTTTCACCTCAAAAGAAATATTAGATAGGGGTGGCCAGGCCAGGGTCTGCAGGGATGCTGGGGAGGGCCCCAGACCTGGTGGCCACCGTGGGCAACCTTCAGCGTGGAGCACCCCATCGTATGTTACTGCCTCATCTTTTGAACCAACAAATGGTGAAGAAATAGTATTTCTACTTGCTTGCAAGTAGACAATCTCATCTTTAGTGGACTTCTTTTCCACAAAGAACCCTTGAGACAAGCAGCAGGGATATTTGCACACCCAGTTTTTTCCCATCGACATTGCAGATTCGGGGACACTCAAGTGTTTCGTAAATTTTTGTCATCAAAATATATATAGGAATTAGGGGGAATTAAAGACACAAACCCAGACATTTCAGAATGGTCAGCGGTGGTGAATTCTGACTCTTTGATTTGAAATGACTTTTTCATTTCAAAATTCCCACATGGTTTATTTTTGCAAAGCAAAGGTTTAATAAAAGCTCAAGATCAAAACATTTCTGATCCTTCCAAAAAATTTCCTTCACCTTTTCAAGCAACTGAAGTTAAAATACCCCAAAGAGGCTTTGGTTCTCCTTCTGAAATTTTGAAATGGCCAAAGAACCAAAATAAGTAAAAACCCCCTTTTCCACCCAGGTTTGCTCCTGGGTGATTTTCTATCTCTTTTTTTTTTGGATTTTTTTAGGGTCCCAACTCATCCTGCACAGCAGGGCTTTCACCAGCCCTGCAAATCTGATATCCTGCTGAGAAAGCCAACGGCCGGGATCCTCTTCCTCCCAGTGTGGCTGCTTGACCCTCCCCTTTATCCCTTGTAGAATAAATTTTGTTGCCAGACGTGGGAATTAATTAAAAAAAAAAAAAAAAAAGAAAAAGTCCTGCTGACCAAAAGGGCCAAGGAATGTAAAATATCAAAACCAAGTCTGGACGGCTTGTTGGTGTCCAGCAGGCCTCGCGGGTGGAAAACAGGGAACATCTCCCCCAGAAGAGCCATCTCATGGTGATGGCCATGCCCTGGACTAAGGCAAGTGACATTTTTGGGAGCGTTGAAGAGAGCAGCAGTCCTGGCCTGGCCTTCCCGGATGGAGCCACGAGCGGTGGGCGGCTGGATGGGGCAGCG